GAAAATGAAAATAGAGGACAAGAAGAATGTGAAATGAGCAAAGATCTTGGGCTGGGACTGGAATGCAAAAGAAAAATGCTAGGCATTGGCCATTATTAAAAATCTGAGGCAGAAGTCCAGAAATCTGATGTGGCCAAAAAAACCACGTGTGTTTTTTCTCCAGCAACCTCATTCATATGGATTTAATAGAAGTGAAATAATTGAACCCATCCAATTCATGTTTTAAATAAGGATAATCTTCTTTATGCTTTCCTTATAAGAAGCTGATAGTGTTAAAGCATTTCCTTACACTTAAAATTACATTAAGGCAACTTTATTAAGTGTTCACTAAGTGCTAGCATTGTGCTAAGGGGTTTGTGTATATTGTGTGTTTTAGTCCTACCAACCCCATCATCATCATCATCTTCCTTACAAAGAAGGAGAGTGAATCACAGAACATTTGACAGCCTATACTCTTAGTGGCATATCTGCATTTCAAAGATATTGTTCACATTTCAACATTATAAAATTACTTAACTAAATTCATCCACAAAGAAACATAGACGGTAGGAACCATATTTCTTGGTAACACACAATTTTCAGAAATAGGAATGTTTCCCAATTTATAGAAACAATATTAAAATAACTTCCTCAATGTTGACTTTTACCTTTAAAATTGCTCTAAAACCACTAGCTCTTGTACTACTTGCTTCCTAGAAATACGAAATCAACAAGTATGATTTCCTAAAAATATGTATATGTATGCATCTTTGCATCTAATATACATAATTTATATTCTACTGGTTAGTTCCTATTTCACTGCATAGCATTAAAACTGACAGTGTTTCTTAGTGCTTTATAAAACACACTGACTTCCAGTGCTCCAAATGACTTTGGCAGCCATAGCTTAGTGGAAAGCAAGAAAAGGCTTTGAATGTTATTGAGATTTCTAACTGGTTTCTTGCACTTCCTGAGGTTATGATATCCTAAGAAATTGGTAGAGCCAAATGTAAGTATCCTGAAATAACAACACTACAGTATAATATTATTCTAATCATAAGTAGATAGAAAGGAAAATAAAACAAATCCAAGAAGTAGAGAAGGTCTTTGACGAAGAAGTGAAAAGTTTTCACTTTTTAGGTTTGTGGAATTTAGAAAAGTCTGAGAAAATCAAATTATTACTTAATTTATCAATGTGATTATGAGGGAGAAGTATGGTGGAAGTTTACTCCCACAGCATTAAATCTGGATGAAACACTTGGTGTGTAGTCGTATGAAAACCTGTCCATTCATGGGGACAAAAAAGTACTTGCATCTAGTACACTGGCTTCATTCTCAATGAATTTCTTTTACCCTAATATTTTAGAGATATTGTCTCTGCTTTATAGATTTCTAGGAAGAGAAATTAATACATAATTATGAAACCACAAGTGAGTTTTCTATGGCAGCTATAAAAAAAATTATCACAAACTTAGCAGCCTAAACAGATTTTCACCTTGCAGTTCTGGAAGTCAGCTGTCCAAAATGGGTCTCACTAGGCTAAAATCAAGGTGTCAGAGGCATTGCATTTCTTCTAGTTGCTCTATGAGAAAATCAGTGTTGTTGTCTTTTCCAGTCTCTTTAGATTGGCTACATTCCCTGGCCAATAGTCCCTTTCATCTTCAAAGCCAACAACAAACAGCAAGAATCTTCCTCCTGCTGTCCTCTTTTTCCCCCCATCTGCCTCTTCCAATTTTAAGGACCCTTGTGATTATGATGGACCTCCTGGATATTGCAGGATACTCTATATTTGACACTTGATAACCAAACTAAATTCCACCTGTGAACTTAATTTCCCTTTTTTATTTAACATATCTCTAGGTTCTTCAGATTAGAATTTGAGCATCTTGAGGAAGGAGTGGAATAATTCTAGCTACCTCATGAATTATTATCTACTTTTGGGTTTTTTTTGGTACTGGGGATCAAACTCGGGACCTTGTGCTTTCGAGGCAGGCACCAGAACCACTGAGCTAAATCCCCAGCCCTATTATCTACTTTTGAATCAGGAAGTATCAGGAAGTATCAGAAACAACATGCTTGGTATTTCATAACATTTTTGCCATTTGTAGCACTCTGAGATTTGGCTTTGAAAAGTGGATAATAAGGGAACATAAATTTGATTTAGTGCTAACCAGTGGATAATAGTAAACATTTAACAGCCTGCTCTAGTAGAAACAAGGGGAGGCTGATATGTAGTATTTGCTGATTTCTATAGTGTAAATATTCCTACCATATGCATTTTCATGCTACCAACATGAAGTCAACTAACTCCCCCAAATTCTGAAAACTTAACAATCCATTCTCATGAGCCAGTCTACAGCAGTTCTAGTACACCACTGGAAGCATAACACCGCTGTCATTCTCTAGTCTTGGGAATGCAAGTTTGACCAAAGCATTTCAGTGCTGTCACCAAATGTCCCCCTTCACCTGCAGGATTAACTGTCTCTGAGCTCCATGACACGACTGGATACTGATGAGATAGATGTCTTTTTTACCCTCCTATTAAGGATCAACACATATGCACACAGAAATACATACACACACACAAATGCTAGTGGAAATTCAGTTTACTCTTACTGCTACATGAACAGTTGGTGACACATCAGAATGAGATCCACTGTCCCCTGGTGACCCCTCTGAGTGTGAAGAGCAAAGTGTGGGATGGGGGTGGGGTCAACACAACAATTTATACTAGAAGCTCTTGGTGGCGATAATTGCTTGGCTGAATTGCTTCTCGGCCTTCTGGCTAAGATCAAGTGTAACTGCTTGGCTGCTTCTTAGTTCTGACTTCTGGGCAGCAGGCATTTGCCTGGGGAGGAGGGCAGAATTCTGCAGGCTGGTGTCCATGTGTGTATTTGCTACACATTTTAAAGAGTAAGTGCTCCATAAGCATAGTCATTATCGCTTTCCTTGGCCATTTTCACACTGGGAATGTGAAATATGTTACTTCTAGATGGCTAATATCTGCTTTTCTATCTGACACAAGCTAATAAATAGGCTTATACTGTATTCAGTATGAAAAGCAACAGATTTATATGGGACAGGAAGGCTGGGTCAGAGTAGCAGTGCAGGTCAATCAGTCAGAGAAAACAAGTCCGTGGAAGACCTAGGGCAGGTGGCTTCTTTCGGAAAGTCATTTCTATTAGTACTCTCCAAACTGTCATATGCACAGGAGTCACTGAGGAGTTTGTTAAAATGCAAGTGCTGACTCAATAGGTCTTAGGTGGGCTCAATCCCTGCACTTCAGCAAAGAGCCCATCCAAGGGCCACATACTGAATGGGCAGGGTCTACAGATCACCCCATCTTCTACTTCCCCACAAATTCATGTCAGTAATTACTGCACTTACCATCTTAGAAATGCTAATCTAAGATTTCTGTTTTTGATTGATAGCTAAATGTCTAGTGCTATGGCATACACCTTGGAAATGAGAAAATACTGCTTTTACTTGATGTTAAAGAACAATTTCAGGCCAGCAACATTTATGAATAGCATATGTTAACATCCATAAAGAAATGAGCTATAAGCACAACTGTAAACTGGCCAATTTATGGGCATTAAATGACAATTTATAAATGATTTTCAGGATAACAGGCTGCAATTCAATAATTCTTCAGGGTCTACAAGCCTCTTAATTCAGTTTCTGGTGGTGATTTTTTTTATTCCACCTGTAACAGACAGATAATGTACAGAAGACCCCTTTCTCTACAGTCACAGACCAAAGCATGAGCTTTTTTTCTGAAGGGATAAATGGCAGGGGGAAAAAGGAGAGATGAAGAAGAATGGGGAATAGAGAAGAAAGAGGTGAATTTTTTAAAAAGTTGTAAAATATCTTTGCCATGGAAGTGTAACAGCTAGTTGATTAGAAATGGATTACTGAATCTGGTTTTGTAAACAAAGTTTCTGTTATCTTTTTTTTCATACCTCTAGCCTTTCCTTATTTTTCTTCAAGTCTAGTCTTATCTCCACTCCCAGAGAATACATGTCTAGACCAATACGATGCTCTTGGACTTGAAAGAAAGGACTTTGTGGAGATGGAACCAGGAAGAAGGGGTGGGTCTGAACAACACTACAGAGGAGGCTGAGGTGGGAGGAGGGAGGGTATTTGTGATCACCATCACATGATCACCGTAAATGCATGTATGAAATGTCACAGTGAAAGCCATTAATTTGTGCAATGAATATGCACCAATAATTATAATTTTAAATAAATAAGAATGCTACATTCTTCTTCCCTCTCTAGAAGATGATTTCTAAGAGCTTTTTCTCAAGCCATAGAACTTATATCAAAACTAAAACATAACCTTGAGGTGTAGAACAAATCATATAACTAATACTGAAATACAGAGTGCTATGTTTTTCTTTTTTGTAATATTGGGGATTGAACTCACAGCCTTTGCACTGAGTTACATCCCAATCCCTTTTTATTTTTATTTTGAAATAGGGTCTTCCTAAATCTCTTAGGAAGAAACAAATCTCAAACTTGTGATGATTCTCCTGCTTCAGCCTTCCAGAGTGCTGGGATTACAGGCACCTCCATGCCCATCCACATGCTTTTTCTTTTATCAGTTAAGAGAGGCATGCTTAATTATATCATATTTACTTGAAAAATCCAATATTTGGATATAATTATGACAGTGTATCACTGACCAACATCGTTACAAGTTGCTTTGCCTTCTGACCAAATAGGTATACAGCTCATATTTTGATCACTCATCCAAGAGGTGACACAGTGTGGTGGTGACTCCAAATGTGACCTCTAAGGCCAGGCTACCTGGAAGTGAATCCTAGTTGTTATAATTACTTGCTGTGGGTCCTTGAGTTATCTCCCCTTTCTGTGTTACTTATTTGCAAATTTGAATAATATCTTCCCCATTGAATTACTGGGGGGATTAAATGAGTTAATCTGAAGACAATGGCTAGAAGTCACCTGGCATATGGCCCTCCATAAATGTGAGCCAATCATCCTCTCTGCCTTCTTACCTTCTGTCTCTGAATTGCTTTCATTTTTTGGAGCTCAGCTTCTTCAGCTTCCTTCTTGATTCTTACAGATTCTTCTCTTTTTAGCTAAATTGTATTGAGAGTATAGAGGACAAAAAACAGTTACCATTTTTGTCTGAAATTCTGGAACACAAAATTATGATGAAAGGCAAATTACAGTATTGTTTGTGCTGTCCCTCACCAAGATTATAGGTTGTCCCATCAAGCTACTTAGATCACAAAGAATGGCCAGGCTACATCCCTTGTCTATTAAATTTCTGTGTTTCTTTCTTCCCTTGTCTATGTGTGTGTCCATCCCCCTCCATGTGGATGTGTGTCTCAATCTCTCTTTCCCTATCTTTGTGGGCAGGGAGCTATGTGTGGGTATGCATGCACATGCCTGTGTGTGAGGGGGAAAGGGCGATGTTTCCTGATTATAAAATTCATGATGTTCATTATAAAAATCACTAAGTATCTTAAATCTTCTTTGTATTTTTTTCATAACTAGCATGAAGTAAGCAAAATCATATTCTTGGAACCAAAATATTCAAAACAGAGTAGACTGAAACTACATTAAATCGTTGTTAATTGTAGGTGGTGCTGATAAATATATGACTTGAATAAGGATTCAAGTTATTTCTCTCTTCACTTCTCACTCCCTGGCTTCTTCAATTTTGAGAGGTGCTTCATTTGAAATTGGTTTAAAGATCTTAGGCTTTTGGTAAAGTTACTATGTTATTTCATAGTTACTTAAAAGTGCTGGTACTGAAAATCCTTGCCAAAATTAAACTAAAAGAGATGGATTTTGACCTTTTGCTGGTATTTAGATTGCATCAGTTGTAGTTGTTGCTTCTGCCTGACTTCAGACTCTGACTGGCTTCCACCTAATGAAAAAACGAAAAAAGCCATGAAGGTAAAACATGAATATTAAGCTAAAATGTCAGCCATCAAGGACTAATTAATAGATGATAAATCTACAACATGAGTTTAACATTTTCATACCCCTGGAAATAAGAACATAACCAATTATCTTCAATAAGACCTTAAAAATGGTAACTGCTTAAAAGAGAAACAGAACTGGACAAAAAGATGAGGCTATATTTTTTTTAAAAAGATCCTACTAAGGGTTTTTAATCAGTAGGATTAAAGTTTATACTTAGACTGAAACTATAACTGAAGGGATATGGTAAAGGGTAAAAAACCGCAAAAAACTACTGCCTGTCTTGGAATTCTAGAAGATTCCTCCAGTTTTAGAATGACAATTCCTTAGCCAATAAAGATAACCAATGATGCCTCAATTGCTTTTCTTCCTTAATTTCTATTTCTCTATGTTCAAATAGTAACACTCAGGAAAGTGTCACTGAGTCTTGTTCCTAGAGAAATATGTAGTCTTTATAACAGGTCATATAAAGTACAATAGGAATATTCTACCTACTCATTAATCAATAAAATTTATTGTTCTCTAGGTATTCAAGGGAAAGCCATGGATATAAGAGTATTTTCTTGTTTTCTCTTAAACCAAAAAATAATGTGGGGGCAGAAATCATCATATGTTAACAATTAAGAGTTGTTTCAGGCTGAGGATTTAGCTTAGGAGTAGATTACTTGCCTAGTTATATTCAAGGTCCTAGGTTCAATCCCCAGCACCACACACACACACACATATACACACACACACACAACACACACACACACGCATGCATACATCATTTAGTGATTTCTCAGTGTTTCTGCAAGATTGGTGTTTATATTAGAAAGATTCCTTTGAAATAATTCTCTAGTGCTTTGGTCAGTAAAAGTGTCCAATTCACTGTCACAGAGTATATATTAAAACAATTTGTATTTGCTGTAGCTTTTTAAAATTGAACTAATAAAGACACTATGGAGGCTCTTCTTCCCAGTTTCAAAAGATGTACAAGGCTCAAATATGGTCTATCAGTCACTCTTACAGAGGGTAGAAGAGAAACAGAAAGAAATATTAAAGATTTTATCTATTGTTCCAAGTACATTCAGTATGCCTACAACTCTTCCACTATTTTAAGAGGTAGAGAAGTAGGGGAGGAGTTGAGAATGAAAAGAAATGGAGAAAGTCAAAAGTCTAAGTATTTGTATGTTTTGTTTAAAATTCATCATTTTAAAACATTCTAGAACCTTCTCCCCAGTGGCCCCTTCCACACACACCCAGCCATTCCTAAATACTTCATATACTACAAAGTTAAAAATGAGAATCTTGCTCATTTTCTACAAAGGCTGCAAGACAGTAAGTACCTACTGCTCCAAATTCTAAGTGAGGTCCCTGCACCCCCAAGGCCGATCTGCAAACTGATCTGAAAACTGGTTTGGAGAATCTTCACTAGCAACTACCTTCAGCCTGTAAAAAGGGTTAGACAGTTAAAAGAGAGATAGAAATCTGAGGAAAGATGTCTTTCTGAGTTCTATCTCCTCTGTGTGTGTGTTTGAGAAAGGAAAAGATCTCCACTTCAAGCTGAGCAACAGAGGTTTAACAAAGGTCACGTCAAGACCTTAACCTGAATCCCTAAGAGTATAAGAAATGAATAAAAAAATCAGAGCTTAAAGGCAATAAAGAAAGCTGTTGTCAGTTGGCTACTCAGATAGGTCCTCAAAAAGAGGTGATTGCATTGAAAATGGTCTGTGTTCCCAGAGTTTTTGATAAGAAGAGAGGCACCAGTGTTGCCTATGTGGACTTATGAGAGAAAATGCAAATCTAAAGGTATCTTAGAGGAACTCATTGTCTTAATTACTTTCTCATTGCTGGGATAAAATACCTGACACTCACAATTACAAGAGAAAAGGTTTATTTTGGCTCACAGTTTCTAGAAGTTTCAGTCCATAGTCAGCTGGCTCCAAGGCAGGGCAGAGGAGAATCAGCTCATGGCATGGCAAGCAGAAAGCAGGGAGCCATCAAGGGAAGAGGAGTGATATATATATCACTCCATCCCTCCAAGCCACACCCACAGTGACTTAACTTTTCCCACAAGGCTTCACCTCCCAACATCACACCCAGGTATAAATGCACCAGTAGACTAATCCAATATCACACATCCATGATCCAGTCACCTCCCAAAGCCCCACCTATAAACACATGAGGCTTTGGGGGAACATCTAGATATAAGCCATAATACTCATCCACAGGTACCACCTACAGAACAATAGGTCCCACACAGAGTCTACCAAGAGCCAACAGTGGGCCAAGCATTGCCAATAGGAGAGTCTATCATTTCTATCAGGGCAATCAAGCAAGGGACAGGTGGTAGGGAGGGAGGGACACTGAAGAACTCAGAGAACCCCAGAAGGGAGAGTAAGCAATCACCACAGCATGTATCTAACACTACTGTCTTATCTCCTCCTTCCCCTTTAACCCTGGAGAAGTCATAATCTGGAAACAAAAATCCAGCTACATCCACCGCACTTGTTAGCTTCTTCCCTGAAACAGTCCTGCACTGGAGTAGAGGATATTTAGTCTCCCTTTAGTAACTGAGTTTTGCCAGAACTGAGGACTGAACTTCACTGAAATGAGACTGCATTATGCCTAGAATTAGCTAGGTAACTTTATTATTTGAGAAAAACCAAAAAGGTCTAATTTTTCACATCATTCAAAGAACATGTGAAAGACTAATCTCACACAGCTAGTTTGAGGGGCATGATCAGGAAGGACTGTTTTCTAATTGTATCCCTCAAGTCTGGTTTATTCAGCATAAAAGTGACACATGAGCTTAACTCCTTCCATGAAATACAGTAATACCTCAGTTTACAAACAGAAGTGTTCGCAAAATTTTGTTTCTGTTCTTGAATTCCACATTGGATGACAAACAAGAATACAGCTATCTTCCCCAGAATTGTGGAACATACTGTATTAAGTTTGTGAACTGAGGTACTACTATACTGTGGTATTTTAATGATAATACTATTACTTTCACTCAGCAAATAATTTCCAAATTTGCTAATTTTTACCTATGTGGGGAGGGGAGGTCTCTAAGACTTTCATGACAGTAAGTGGCTTCTGACTGAAGAAATGTTTGTATTAACTGAATCTATGGCAAGCACTTTAAATTCTCAGCTGCTGCTGGTAGAGAAAAGAGAAAAAAGAGATGAAAGATTCCCATTAGGTGGCATCCCCTCTAAATGATCCACACACCACAGAGTTGACCCAGATAATTCATCACATTGGCAGCACCCGTGCTAGTGCACCAAAAGTCTCTGTAGAGTAAAATCCAAGTGACATTTGTCTTTATACTCACCACTCGGTCCCCTGCTCACTCTCATCTTGCTTTTGGAATTGACTCTTCTTCTATTTTCTTCACATTAGCATTTAACGGCCATGATTAATATGCTGTGATAGCTTTCCGTCTCATCCTGACAGGTGCTATGACAGGGTATATGAAGCACCCCAAGTAACTTTTCTTCAGAGTTGATCATCTAAGAGGCTCTACACCAGTGATGGTGAATCTTTTAGAGCTTTCATTAATACAAACACCCCACTACAGCATGCATACCATTGTGGCGTACCACCACTGCTCTAAATTACTTGACAATTAAGCCATCACGTTATTTCCGCATAACTGTGGCCTCATACATTTGCTACTTGCAGGAAACAAGAAACTATAATATAACAGCACACTTAAATGTCTCCATATTAAATGCATTCCATCCCAAGCAGCACAACCACTGACCACCTCTGATATACACAGACATGCAGGTGCCTGTGGGATCTAAGGATGGCCTTGCCTCACACATTCCAGCAACTGTTTTATCGCTTACCCAGCCGTCTTGGTGAAAGATAAATTGGTTTAGCTCTATTCTGCTCCTTCCACTTCTCCAGGCTGGCCAGCTCTTGCTCAGCAACTAAACAGGTGAAAAATATCAAATCATCAAATGTTAGAATTTGGAAAGAAAATAGGTCACTTTAAAGCATTAAAAAAATATATCACCAGAGGGCAATTAACTACATGCTAACATAAGCAGACAAGATGTCCAGGAAAAGATACTGCACCTTCCAGCTGTAACCTTTTGGGATCACCCTGCGCCCACCCATAACACTCTTAACTGTCTGCACAGACAGCTCAAAGTTGAAAAACAAACTGAACTCCTAATAGGAAAAAAAGGGAGTATAGTTTTTTCTCCCACTTAGGCATTCTTAAAACCCTACATCAAATTAATTTTAAAGGTTTCCTACAGAAAATGTGTGCAAAACTATGATATTCCTGTCAATAGGAATATAAGAAGCAGGACTCACTGCCCAGATACTTACTTTTCACAAAAACAGAGGGCGCCAAGGAAATACTATCACTGTTCCCCCAACACATGCCCTCATCGCCAGGTTTGACCTCTTTGTTCCCGATGTCCACTCATGAAATATTTTAACTATGAAGGAGGGGGATTCTGAAATATCTCAAAACCCAGACCACTCTGAGACTTAAATTCCTGGTAAATATTTAACCCAAAAGCTGGTAAGATGCCAGAACCTTTGGAGTTCTGTTGGTCAACTACTTGCAGTTGCCATAATCACTGCAGAGCTATGACTATCACATTCTGAACTGACCCAATCTCCCACCAAGGTGGGTAGCAATCTGGTGGGAACCCTTTAGATGGCTGCTTTGCTGTAAAGCCCTTAAGTTTACCATTAGTTACAAATTAGATTTCCTGCCAATGATGCAGTAAGACAGAACATAGAATTTCAGTACCAGCACTGCAGCTTGACCTGAAGGAGTCTCACAATTTCCCTTGTAAACTAAATGAACCTTAGCTCTCTCTGCAACTCTAAAAGATAATGTCATAACTTTAGACAGCAGTGCTTATACCTACTGTATTTTATTTAAATACGTTATACATACACTTAATATAAGGAGCATGAAAAAGAGTAAAATGTGGTCCCTGCCCTTTGGGAGCTTATAATCTAGAGAAGAAAACTGAGTTACACAAATAAAAACAGCAAAGGATAAACTGACAGTTTCAAAAGTATGAGAGCTCAGGTGCTATGGAAAAATTCCATTAAGGAGAGATGAGATAAACCAAGAAAGGTACTAATTATTTCATAATTTATTTTGTATAATACTTGTCTGTTTCAAAAGAATTCATAGTGCCATTAAAATATCAGCTGTCAGCTGAAATGTTAAGGGATGAGACTAGTCTATGGGCAATAAGCGCAAAGTTGTTTTAATCCAACAAAAATCTAAGATTTATAATCATGCCATGAGTTCTGTTACTGATGTGAAGAAAGAAATTTATAAAGTGCTAACAATAGAATAATTTTTTATCATTGTAGTTTATTACTACATGAGTATAGTACATGTTTATATTCCTAGGAGGTTGGTACATGTATGTAACACATCTTAATTGCTTTCTTCATCCCTTTTCCCTTCCCTCCTTCCCCCCTCCACCTATCCCTAGATCCTTTTCCATTTTTTTTTGTTTTGTACATGTTTGGAGTATATAATGTTTATATTCCTTGTGTAGAACTGGTACATGTTCGTAACACATCCCAGTTCCTTTTTTATCCCTTATCCCTTCCCTTCCTCCATCTCCTGATCCCCTTCCCCTTTGAGAATGACCTAGCTCCCTCCTTCCTATGATAAGGTATAGTAAAAACTACTGAAGTTTGAAGAGAAAGGACCTTGATGAGATCTGGTAAATTTATTTTAGTATATGTGCTGCTGAAGTGAGCCAAGAGATCTGGTAAATTTATATCAATCAGATATGAAAATACTTCAGGCTGAAACAAGCCAATTTTAAAGAAAATAAGAAACATTTTGAATGTTAAATGAATAAATATACATACTCCTTTGTATCTGATGCCTCCGAGTTTCATCTGGTGCTATCAAGGTATATGCACCTGTGCTAGAATGAAGAGAAAAATTTGTTATTATCTGAAAAATCACTAATGCACATAAGTCACCAGAGTCTTCTAATATACTGTATGATTATCACCATCAAATAGGTAACATAGAAGATAATCTTTTTAAGATCCAGTTCTTTTCTCTAGGACCTTACAATCTAGCTGTCAATGTAAGACAAATGGACACGATCAAATATGGAAAAATAAAGCTCTGAGTGAAGTGACAAGTTCTTGATAGAACTGCTTGTTCACTGATTCTTGATAGACCATCCTTGTAGGGCTCTATTGTTCCTCGAGGTGACTCTTGAAGGTAAATCCCTGTAAGATTGCCCTTCTTGGGCCAGGGATTTAGCTCAGTAGCACTGCGCCTGCCTTGCAAGCGCAAGGTCCTGAGTTGCCCTGAGTTCAATCCGCAGTACCACACACACAAAAAAGATTGCCCTTCTCTCCCTATGATTCATATTTGGAAAACAGGAAACTCTGGTGGGTTCTTGGTTCCCACAAACTGAAAGTATAGGCCATTTGCACTGCAGCTACTTCCTTATGATGACCCATCTGAGCAGCATAACTGGCTATAATCTTGTGTCTTTATAAACCTGGGTCCACTGAGTTCCTCATTCTCCCAAAGATACAAGTTGAGCATAGTCAGAAGCTCAGAGAAGTAAGGCATCCCTTCAAACAAAGGCCTCAGGAAAGAGTTCATTTAAGCAATTATATTCAACACTATAGCATCAAGAAGCCATTAAAATAGTGTAAGCTTTTGAGAACAGAAACTGTGCTTCCTTGCTGTGTGTTCTAGGTCTGTGGCCAGTGCTTGGCACAAAGTAGTTGAATGATGAAATGTGGGCTGAACTGAAATAAAACAATGCCATGGATCCAGCCAGTGAGTCTGGTTGGGGGCAGCTCTTCGTTGAGCTGATGCATCTGGTCCCACAAGAGAATGAATACTTTGTAGAGCAAAAGTATAGCACAGCAAGACTACAGCATACATGTATATACAGTTTTAGGGGAAATGCTGTGAATAAACGCAACCAGCTTATAACCATAGGGTTTGTTTTTTTTTAAAGAAAAAAACAAAAAAGAACAGATACCCAGAAGTCTCTCCAATCTGTCATGTACAAATTTCAAAGGGCCTATTTACCAATACTGAAGACTAGAGGCCAAACATGTTGATTAACAGAAGCCATTTCTTCCCTAGCTCATTATTTTCCTAGCAGTGAGCCTTTCACCAGCTTCAGACTGGGCTTCGATTTTAGACTTGTAAATGGGAGGTGTGCATCCACCTTTGCATGCAAATGGGGTGCTGGATGCCCAATTACCTCATGTATATCAGCAGACCTTTCGTGTGTAGCCTAGCATGCATACAACGTTATGAATACAAAATTAGAAGACTGACACTGTAAATTAATCCCTTATCCATTTCGTATTCTTTGTTCACTATAAGACTTTACACTTCTCAATTGCTGGTGCTTTATAGGAATTTGGGGGCTGCAATTTTGTGTCCATTCAGTGGCGATTCTGTGGCAGTACCTGGAAACTTGAATATTATGCAATAGTGAGCCATTGTACAGGGCCTTAAAACTAAAATATGAGATACTGGATTTAAATACCACCCATAACTTTGATCTTGATCTTTCGTGTCTGCTAGGGCTGTGGTGACCTAGCCCTCAATCACTGTTACAGGGATTTGCCTATCATGCTGATCAGTAGTCCTTCACCTTTATCATGTATCACTAGGAGGGTTGGAGGCAGATTTGTTAAAGGACAAAAGTTTCTGATTCAGTAGCTCTGGGTTGAACTTCAATAATATGTATTTTTAACAAGTTCCCGAGTGATATTGATATTCTTGATATAGGTCCCACACTTAAAGAACCACTGCTATATTTGAGTCATGCTCTAGTTCAAATATGTAGTTCAAAACTCATGTGGTGGCTTGGTTCCCAGTGTAATAGTGCTGTGAGATGGGTAGGCCTTTAAGAAACATTGTGAGTCATGGGGGCACCATACTCAGGAAGGAACAAAGTATCGAAGTAACAAATGACAAGCAGGGACAATAGCAGGGTTCTTCCTGTCCCTTATATTATATCTAGGCTATCCTGCCCTAGCATTCACACCCAGGGTGGTGCAGCCTTAATCCTAGCATCACATCATGAATCAATCCCAGCATCACATCCTTGATCCCAGAATCACACACTCTAGATCCAGTCCCCTCCAAAAAGCTCCACCTATGACCGCATGAGGCTTTTGGGGGGACATCTAGATACAAGCCACAACCAAGACTTACCTAGCCTTGAAATTAGAGGTTTTTAATCAAAAACATATTAGCATAACCCTAACAGTGGTCCTGGTAATACATGTTTTATGTTGGAGAATTCCTTGGTAACTCTCTCAGCAATATTTTACTGGTCAAAATGTCAAATCTAAAACATTTTATAATATCCACAAGAAGACACTGCCAATTAATTTAGCTTTTATTCCTCTTACTCATAATAGGAAAAGCAGCTTAGGTCTAAAGCTATGCTTTTTATTTTTAATATCGTGGCCTTGATAGGTAAAAATATTCATCCTTTCTCTCTTAGCTGTTTCTTGACATGACTAGCAAGCGTAATTTATTAATGCTTTCAGCCAATTAGTTTCCACTCACAGCAAAGGCTTTTGTCATTTTAACCTCCACGGCTTTCCTTTCAACAGGCTGACTCCTAAACTGTTCATCTGGACAAGAATGAGCTAACTAGATTTTACATTCTAGTCATTTCCTGATTAAGCAACATTCAAGCTACTGAAACAAATATATATTTTTGAAAATGAGCTTCCTTAATTATCTCATTGAAATTTAATGAAATATCTCAATTGGCAAGATTGTTTTCACTTCTTAACAGCACATGTCTGTGAGATAAACTAAAGGAGACCACAGGAAAGAACAGCCCACAACAAAGAAAAATGTCTTTCTCTACCATAATAAAAAAGAAAAATATAATATGCAAGACACATTTACCTGTGAGGGCGCTCTGACTTCCACAAGTGCATTTCACAGTTACCTTCTTGCACAATTTTTATAACATCTCATCAATAAGCACACTATGAAAAAATGTTATGCTGCAGTTACAAAAAATATCTTGGCTGCCTAAAGGTATTACATAAATATATCCCCTGGTGTGTACCAACTGCACCAGCTATAATTTAAATTTCTAATTAGGAGCAACTCTGGTTTGACTGAAAAAGAAATGTGAGGTCAAGAGAAAAATTCAGAAAGAGGTAGACAAGCTACAGATAATTTCAAACAGAATAGTAGAAACATGAAGTTCGCTGTTGTACAAAAAACTGCCTTGATGTTTGTCATAGCTGAAGAAAATCTTATTCTTGGGTGTATATAAATTGAAAAACTAAGTCTTAAGGGTATTCAAAAGTATTGGATATTTTTCTAAATACGAAATCCTATATTGGCATGTGTTATATTAACTCCAATGAAGGAATCTGAAGCTTATTGTTTTCAGCCAACATGGGTAAAAACTTTTGAGGCATTTGGGTCTCCAAAAGTTTTTTTCTTTTTTTTTTAACAAACTAAATTCCCAAGCAAAACAAAAAACAAGATCAGGCTACGTAAGTCATCCTTGGCCCCAAGCACGTTATACCAGCTCTGATCTGGCGTTCCGTATCTCAGGTATAAAGGAGTTCATGAATCCTCTTTGGTCTTAGAGCCTGCAGAGAATAAAATATTGTTCACACACCCAAGAAGAAGACGTAAAGTTTCTAAGTTCTTTCTTCAGCATAATCCAAAGCTTCTGTTAGAAGGCTGAAATAGATTGAAACAGACACCCAAAGGGCAAAAGATAAGCAAAGAGAGATCACCAGGGCCTTTGTTTATAGGATACCTGTATGGAAATAAGAGGTGTGTGTGTACATGCGTGTGCATGTATACACATATGCATACACACACTTCAAAAATCCCCATAGGAAGACATCATAAAGTAGTGCAAATTATAAAAATGTGCCCATTCAGGTGGGGGAATATATTTTAGCTTTAAATTACTGCCTCAGTACCTATAAGTCTGTGCAGTAACCATCTGCACAGCTACACAGGGTGGACCTGAGATGGTGCATTTACTAAAACACTCATGCACACAAATAGTAAAATAGTAAATAAAGTTAAATAGTAAAATAATAATAGTAAAGTTAAATAGTAAATAAAGTTAGCAAGAAGGACTTATACTGAAGACAAAGAATGTATGTGGAATACAATATCAGAGAAAACTGTTTTAATAGGCGAAAAAACACCCAATGATAGACATAGAGATGGGACCAATTGGTAGGTATACCTGCAAAATGTCTAAAATTACTTTTTTAGTAAAATAATTGGAAGGAATTCATGTTTTCAGAACACAAAGATATCAGGTCTGAGATTTGGTTTAACTCTACTCACAGACTAAGAAATTACCCTGCTCCTTTTTCATGGATGCTGGCAGAGATTCCTTGGGCCAGAGACAAAAGACTTTTGCTTACAGCACAGCAAGCATCATGACCGTCAGCTTATTTATATGTGTTCCTTCTGGCCCCAGGTCTTATGGAGGCAGAATAATGAATATCGCACATATGGTATGTTTGCACTGCAGCTCAGAAACCCTGGGCTGGGGGATCCACCATTGCTATAGGAGGTAGTAAGGAAGCTAGGTCTGTCATGGGGAAAGTGTGCCTCCTCTCTCAATGTTCCCTGCTAAACAACCTGTGAAAGAAACAGCCCAAATTAGCTTGATCACATGATAATTTCCTAGCTCTCCTTAATTCTTAAGAGAGGCTCACCTTTTCCAGTACTCATTCTCACTTTCTAATAGCCCTTCTGTATTATTCAGATTGAAAATGTGTCCAGTTAAAATACTGTAGTCCCCAACATTTATAATAATATAACTAAGATGAGTGGAAACTATTGAGAGGGATTTCTAGGAAAACTCCTCTAAATGGAGACGGACAGATAGGAAAACTTTTGTTGCATTCCTCCTTGCTGGAA